AACCTGCGAAACCCTTCTTTTGCCCTTAGTCTAATACCCCCCCGCTACTATATCTCCTATTAAGGGCTGTTAGCATAAGGGGGAACATTCCAGCCTAAACTCCTTATCGTACTGAACTAACCATAGCAACACGTGTTAACGGGCTGTTATGGGCGGGATCGACGGTACCTAGCTGCCTAATTCCATGCTACGAGCTAGTTTAGGGTTTAGGGTTAGGGGTTTAGGGGTTTAGGGGTTAGGGTTTTACCTTAAGCCCTAAACCCTAAAACCCTGGTTTTTCTGCCGTCGTGATACTGTTGGATCCCTGCCAAGTGGTTCGTCCAGCTATGCGGGTGCCAAACAAACCTGGCCATAAACCCTAAACCCTATAGGGTTTAGGGTTTAGGGTTTAGGGTTTAGGGTTTAGGGTATCCCTATCTTGAGAACCCAACTCCCACTTGCTGCAGGTAATTGCTTGCCATAAATCACCCACAGATAGGCCTCTTCGGTGACACCCTAAACCCAAAACACTCAACCTAAACACAAAAGCAATCCCAAAACCCCTACATCCTACAAGCTTCTTCGGCGACGCCCAAAATCCGTAAACCCTACACCCTACACCCAAAACCCATATAAACCCTAGACCCTAGACCCTAGACCCTAGTCCTAAACCCTACACCCTGAACCCTAATATCAGGTCTGGGCGCGGTGCCTGGCCCCCTGGGTCGTCCTAGGCCAGGACGCCCGTGACTCCGGGCGAGGTGGCTTTGGCAGAGAGCTAGGGTTTAGGGTTTAGGGTTTAGGGTTGAAGGTTTAGGGTTTAGGGTTCCTAAGAACAACCAAACAAACCGGGTTTAGGGTTTAGGGTTTACGACCTTTAGAGGGTCTAGGGTCCGTTTCTGGCAGTACCCATCCGGAGCCCAGATTTGTCAAACAACAACAAACAGAACCGGCTCCAACCACTTCGGGGGCTACCGCTCGACGGCTTTGCAGAAGGGATTTGTGGTTTACGATGTCGGGTTGGCTTACGGTGCCGGGTTGGAGGTTTGCGAGGAAGGTGTAGGGTTTAGGTCGGGTTTTTAGGGGTTTAGGTTTTATGGGTGAGAGAGAGAGAGAGGGTTTAGGGTCGCCTTAGGTTTTAAAGATGAGATCGTGCGAGGGAGAGAGAGAGAGAGACAGACAGACAGACAGACGGACAGAAAGAGAGAGAGAGAGAGCGAGGACAAAGACGGGGGTGTAGTTAGGGTTTGCAAAGTTTGTTGGGCTGAAGTTGGTCGCTTGGGGCGGAATTGAAGTTCAAGAATACAGGCCCACCCCTAAAATGAATGATAGGGGGGTCAGGGTGGCGGTCAAATCAAGGTCCCAGCAGCAAACAAAACATAGTGTTTAGGGTTTAAAGGGCTAGGGTTTAGGGTGTAGGTTTAGGGATTGGGGTTTAGGTTTAGGGTTTGGAGTTTAGGCAGGCCTCTTTCCCCAAAAGAATCTCGAGTCCGCGTCTCTAAAGCTTAGGGTCTAGGCTGTAGAATTTCGGGTGTAGGGCTTCTGGTTGTTGAGTTTGCGTTGAGCTTTGTTATCGGCAGTGACCTTGCCCGGTTTCGCAGATCTGCTCGCCGCTGTACTGGCGTATGCTGAAACGGACATCGGTGGAGAATGCAAGGCGGGGGGGGGGGGGGGGGGGGGTTCGGGACCCTAAACCCTAAACCCTAAACAGGTCATGGCAACCCTAAACCCTAAACCCTCAACGGCGCCGACAAGCACAACAATCAAGGGTGTGAGTTGTTTGCAGTGTCTAAGGTTCCAAGGTAGGGGCCCTGAATCTTGGCCCCTTGTTATATAGCCTTTTTTTGCCCTTGTTCATTCAGAAGGGCCCATACTTCGGATCCCTATAAACAAGGCATACTACCCCGGCAGCTTTGAGCAGTTGTTTTTTAAAGTTTTGTTTTTATTACCCTTGGTCGCCTGTACTATCCTTCTAAGGCCATAACCCTAAACCCTAAACTCTACCCCAGACGAGGGGCCCATGGTTCCAACTTTATAGAGAGGGGAAGAACCTGAGCCACTTTTTTCCCCCTTGCTTGAGCTTCGCTTATTTGTGGTTGGCATCCTTTAGGGGCTGAGGGTTTAGGGCTTAGGGCCTAGTGAAACACAGGGAATGCACCCTAAACCCTAAACCCTAAACCCTAAACCCTAAACCCTAAACCCTAAACCAAGGCTCTCGAGATTCAGCGCCACCTCGACCCCCCACCTGTCACCCAGCCAACAGAATCTTCATCCTAAACCCTACCCCCTTTTTTTTAAGGTGTTTAGGGGTTTAGGGTTTAGGGTTTCAGCTCAATATTATAAGGTACCAAGAGCCAAGCGCCTGCCCAAGAAACGGTACCAGCATGAGTCTTTCTACGTGACATGAACTCTCTTGACAAGGAACCCAACGTAGAAATCATGAGTCGTCCCTCTTGGCCTTTAGACCTTGTATGCTCGGGGGAGGGGGGTTCGTGGGGGGTTAGGTACCTAGGGAACCTCAAGGAAGGTTAGGGAGCCTCAGGGAGTAGTGGGGGGTCTTAGGGAACGTTGCACTGCAATCCTAAGCCCGAACCCCAAACCCTAAACCCTAAGCCTAAACCCCAAGCCCCAAGCCCCAAGCCCTAAACCCTAAACCCTAAACCCTAAACCCTAAACCCTATAAACCCTAAACCATGCAAATGCGACAGTTCAAAGGCTGTGCACTCCACCGCGCCTTGGACCTGAGGCCTCCCGGCTCGACGGTGCTTCTGGCACTTTCTGGCCGCTGCAGCGCGTGGATGATGAGGAGGACGGTTTAGGGTTTAGGGTTTAGGGTTTAGGGTTTAGGGTTTAGGGTTTATAGTTTATGGGGTTTAGGGTTTAGGGTTAGCCGAAGGGTTCGAGCCTCCCAGCACACGGAACATACTTTTCTGCTGGATCCCCAATGGTTTAGGGCGGGCTTTGGGGTTCAGGGTTTAGGACGGGCTTCTTTCCGTACCTTGTCCTCAGGCCTGGTTACAACAAAGATTTGGTTGAGACAACGTGTTCCCTTTTCTCGAAGGGCTACGAAGGCCCGCCCTGCCCTAAGTCCCAGATCCTTTGATCCCGAACCCTCCCCTAAAAAGAAGGCCTATACCCCCCCCCCCCCCCCCCCCCCCCCACCCCGAAGCCAAACCCCAAACCCCAAACCCTAGACCTAGGGTATTTAGGGTTTAGGGTAACACCCTCGGAGGCCCAGCCGCTGGTTCTGCGCGTGGGGCGCGAGCGGCTCGTGTGAGAAAATGAGGTTTGGGGTTTGAGGTTTAGGGTTTGGGGTTTGGGGTTTAGGGTTTGGGGTTTGGGGTTTGGGGTTTTGGGTTTTGGGGTTTTGGGGTTTTGGGGTTTTGGGGTCTGGGGTCTAGGGTTTAGGGTTTTGGGGTTTTGAGGTTTGGGGTTTGGGGTTTAGGTTTCGGTTGGGTTTAGGGTTTAGGGTTTAGGGCTGGAAGGGTGGTTAGGGGTTTAGGTTGTAAGGTTTGCTCTTAAAGGGCTCAAAGGGCTTTGAGGGTCTGTTTTGTGTTGGGTGACGGTCCGACTTCTAAGGGGTTCTGAAGGGTGGTTTAGGGTTTAGGGGTTTTGGGGTTTTGGGGTTTTGGGGTTGAGGGGTTGAGGGGTCCAGGGGTCGAGGGGTTGAGGGGTTGAGGGGTTGAGGGGTTGAGGGGTTGAGGGGTTGAGGGGTTGAGGGGTTGAGGGGTTGAGGGGTTGAGGGGTTGAGGGGTTGAGGGGTTGAGGGTTGAGGGTTGAGCTAGGGTTTTGGGTTTTAGGGGGTCTGGATGTTGAGAGGTTTTGGGGTCCGGGAAGCAATGGTTGGGGCTGGGGTGGCAGTTTGGGCGGGCATGTTCTTTTGACCGTGTTTGCTAAACCGTTGGCTTAGGGGCTTAAGGGGTTTTGGGCTCTACAGAGGTTCAGGGCATTTGGTATGTTTTTTTTTTTTTTTTTTTTTTTTTTTTTTTTTTTTTTGGGTTGACACCCTTCAGGGTCCGGGCTTTTTTCGGCGTGGGGCTTCGGATCATACCCTAAACCCGTAAACCCTCTAAACCTTAAACCCTTAACCCTCCCTAAACCCTAAACCCTAAACCCTAAACCCTAAACCCTAAACCCTAAACCCCCTATAAACCCTGAACCTTAAAGCCCAAGCTCCATAAATTCCGCATCGCACTGGGGCGTGCCCATGCCAAAGGTTTTAGGGTTTGGGGTTTAGGGTTTAGGGCTAGGGTTTAGGGATTAGGGTTTAGGGTTTAGGGTTTAGGGGTTTAGGGTTTGGAACAGACTGCGGGAGCCAGGTTTGGGGGTTCAGGGTCTCCGGGATTTGGGGATCTCAAGTCTTCGGGTCATAGGGTCTCAGAGTCTCAGGGTCTCGGGGGGTCTTAGGGTCTCGGGTTTGGGGCTTAGGGCGAAAAGTCCGGGGCTTCAGTTTGGGCCCTTCATTCCGGGCGCTTCCACACCTTTTGTGGGTTCCTATTTTTTTCACCAGAGACCCAGAGAGCCCGATACCCCTGAATTAAGGAATATACCCTAAATTCTATAGGGACCCTTAGTATGATTTATAAATCATACTAGACCCGGAGAGCCCAATACCCCTGAATTAAGGAATATACCCTAAATTCTATAGGGACCCTTAGTATAATTTAAGGTATATTGCTTAGTTCAGGGGTATTGGGCTCTTTGGGGAGGCCAAGGGTCCTCATGATGTGCCCTTTCTTTTTCAGCATCCGATGTGGGGTTGTCGCTGCCCCTAAACCCTAAACCCTAAACCCTAAACCCTAAACCCTAAACCCAAAGAGGCTGGCGTGCCTTTCGGCGCTGCTGTCCGCTTCTTGTCGCGACGGATCAAACCTCAAACCCTGAAACCTAAACCGCTGAAACCGTAGCCATTTGGGCTCAAGGTACTCCAAAAACCTTGAGGCAATAGCGCACGAAGTTGTACTTACACACCACATTTTGCGGCCACGCAACTCGTGTAAGTACGGAGACCTTGAGCCAGAATGGAGACGGCCCAGGCGATCCACAAGATCATGGACAAAGCATGCAAACCGGGACTCATCATGAGTTACCTCCTGAGCATCCGGGACGACCTCAAGACGCACCGCACCATCCAGAAAGCTTCCATAGACGATCCGGAGATCGAGATGACGCTTCTGGAGCTGAACATCCCATTGATCTACGGGATGACCCAATGCGTGTTGGACGAGGAGGAGCTCCTCCACTACCTGAGCAACTACGGGGACAAGATGGCGTTCAGCGAGGAGACGCTAGAGGCCTTCCGCATGGGACAGTTCAAAGACGGTGTGTCAACGCCAGCGAGGGCGGCGGCTGTCTTGACGTATGCTGGCAATTTCTGGTCGACATTGTACAGCTCACGAGACCGCGCCCTTCTCCCCAGCCTGACTTCCACGGAGGGCTGGAAATGGATGGGATCATTACTCGAGGACACATGGCCGGTAGTCCTGGCGTTAATGCATACCGTGCCGAACTCGAAGAACCCGAATGGGGAGAGGATCCTGTTCGGTTTGACCAGCAGAGCATGGAGGTCTCTGAAGGACTTGGCATTTACGGCTCAGGTTGGCTTCTTGGATGGCTTAGCCGAGCCGGACGCGTCACAGTCGTGGCACAAGTGCTACGGGACAGTATCCATGCCGGCGCTACCGTTCTGTGGCGTGCGGTCAGACAAAGAAGGTGAGGAAGCAGTTGGAGCTCTGGAGGCGGAACTTCAAGGAGGAGGTGAAGATGAAGGCGATAGTCGACTTCGAGCAGGTGGACTGAATGCATTCCGCGCGTCCAGGCCAGGGAGTGACATGCACTCCGTCATCGCGGCCATTGAGGACTTTGGAGTGACATTTTTTGGACGTCTCTTTCCTTTTCGTCGAAATCATCGTCATCAAAGCAACTGGCTTCATTCATTGTGTGTATATTGGTGCTGCCATTTTATCTCTTAGTTCATACTTAAGCACCGGAACGCCCCAACCTTGCATGCTTTTCCATGGTCTAAGACGTCTGATCTGGGACATGCGGTCATACACGTACAACGTGTTAATTCAGTGGGACATCGCACTCCGCTTGTCTAGACGGTCACAGATAGGAGAACTCATGGCTGCCCGCGACGGCGGGATCTGCCATTACTGTCTCCCGACAGGTTTCTCCTACACTTCGTATTGTGAGGATGACCGCTACGTACAGGCCATAGCTTTTGCTCACAGGTGCTCACGTTGCACCCTCCGCCATTTTATTGCAGGTGATCGGCCCATGTATAAGGCTGAGAGGTATCATCATCGACTATTACACCGTGCTCAGCATGTTGTGTGCTCCGACAGGGAGAAGTCGAGAGGCATGCTTGCCAACATCAACCTCACTCATTCAGCCATCGTGGAGGACTCGACACTTGACAAACAGTATAGTTACCAGACTTTTCTGGCACATGCTGTGCGTGCGGAGCTTTTGACCCTTGGAGGGGATATTTGTTTCACCTCGAATTGCCATTTTGGCACCCAGACCGGTGTTCGTGTCACCGGGCCGACAGCGGGATCCAGTACCGATGCGTCGGTACCAAGCCAGATGGTGCGTCGCGGTTCATCGAACCGGGATCGCCGCTCATCCCTTACACGACGGCAGATCCAGGCCACCCCATGAAAGGGGTCGAGATCGTAGCCGATTGGGATCGGGTAGACCTGCGTAAGGATATGGCTCGGAAGATGGAGGCGCTTGCTGTCCTCGAACACGAGGCGAAGTCCTGCATCGTTGATGAAGACCTATTGAGACAACATCAGGTCACAGCTAAGGCGAAAGTCGCTATTCCCGGTGTGACAGAGAAAGACATGACCGGGATCCACGTAGCGTGTAATACCCACGAGAACGCATTGGCCGGTATCGGAAACCGCCACTACGCAGAAAAATATGCCGAGGTAAATTATGAAGGCATTCTGATCAAGAACCAAATCGGCAATCCGTGGGAAATTGTTCGGAGATCTCTCCACGCCGTAGTGGAGATTGTGGTGCCTGCTATCCTTGAGATTGACGAAGAACTCATAAAGAGGCAGGACACGGAGGTGATGGAGATTCCTCAGAGCGAAGTGGTGTCGGAGCTTCATGGGAAGTCACTCTTTCCGATGCACAAGTCCATTGACGACATCGCTCCGAGCAGCTTCACCGAACAAATGAAAAAGGACAACTTTGAAGCGACCTCAGGCACCGACATGCCACGAGCTCCGCCAACGAAGGCATTCATCAAACCGAATGAGGCCTTGGGGAAAATCAAGCCCCGTCTTATTCAACATACAGGGCCACAGGGGACTGCCATGTCCGCCCTGATGAATAAGACGATAGAACAATGCTTCTTTAGACTGCCATATTTTGTGGCACGCAGCATCAAGGGTACCGACAACTCCGGTGTCTGCGAACGTATCCGCGTATTCTACAATGAATACAAATCCGGGGGCTTCGCATCAACAGATTTCGGGAGCTTCGACTCCTCGATCACTGATAAGTGCACAGTTGACCGGAGCAAACCTGGGTTACGCCGGATAATTGAAGAGGCGTTGATGAACGGGGTTGCGCAAAAATTCCCCGAATCGGCGGACTACAGGAACGCAGCGAAAACGCGTTGGAAGAAAAAGGACAAGATCCTTTTCGACACACTCACTCTCATGACAGAGGTTCTCATACGGCAGTCTGGGGACGGCATCACATCCGTTGGCAATTATGCCAACAACTGGTTTGTTGATCGCTGCCTCGATTACATTGCCGAGATCATCTTTGCAGAGTGGGACTGGCGGCAGTATTCGCTAAAAGAAGTTGTTGAGAGCCTTACACATTTGCTCGACGACCCAGCTTTCATCAAAAAGGTCGTTGAAGGTGTCAAATGGAAGGCAGCACGCCTGGCGAAGACAATCGAACGCGTCTCAAAGGGACTTCACGTCACCAAAGAGAACTCGGAGTTCCTCAATGGGGAAGGCGACGATCGCCTCAAGGGCTATCAATGGGCATTTATCCAAAAGTTCGAAACGAAGGACAAGAGGGGTAAAGATGCCAGACAAGTCCTAGGCGTAATTACGGCAGTCCTATACACCGCCGCTGGGATGAGCCTAGAGCCGCAAGACCGTACAGGTCGTGTGAGTGCCGACAAGCTTATTGACAAGACCCAGCGTATCGAGTTTATCAGCCGTATATTCGTCCCCCTCAAGGAAGGGAAAATGATGCGGAGCTTCCCGAAGCTTCGGAAAACTTTCGCAGCAGCCACCATCACATTCAATGTGAATGACCCTTTTCTTACAGCGGCAGCGACGAAAATGCTCTCCATCATGATGATGTGTGAGCAGTGCCCGTTGCAGTTCCCTTTCTACTCTCTCATCTTCCGCCATTACAGACAACGTCTGAGTGATGAGACGATCATCACAAACAAGCGGAAGTACGAATGGTGGGAGCTAAAACTGATGTACCTTATATCAGACAACGGGCTGGAGAGTAGCATGAGCGCGGTTTACGCCCACCTCACGACTCGGGCAAACGGGTACACATCACCCGACATAGCCGACGGAATGCTGGACGCTCTCTCTGCCGAAACGCGGTTGGCCAAAAATGATTTGGTCTGCCTGATCGACGCCATCACTGGAGCGAGTGGGGACGATCTAGGAGTGGTCCAAGACCTGGTGCAGAGATATGTGGCTATGTTGCCACCGGTCTGATTTATCAGACCTGCACCGAAGAGGCAAGGACTAGGAGATCGTATGTCGGGTATTGCCAATACCCGGCAGGAGGGCCCAGAGCATGGTACCGAGCCCCATGCTTTCCGCCTGTGGCCAACTAACGGTAAAGTACCACAACCTGCGTGTGGGAATTCCAGACTGCGCTATACTGGACCCGGGCTGACCTTCTGATGAGCGACGGCCCCGGCATGCCACCGGATAGCGCGCGAAAGCCCCCCTGCCCGAAGAGAAGCGGATCTCGAGGCAGAATCAGGGTGGGGGCGGAGGGTGGGGTTGGTAGGTCCCTTGAGCAAGGACTGAATCCATCGGTAGGTAAAACCAAGCCCCTAACGCAGAGACAGGCGAGTTTACGCCCAGCGGTGGTGTGGCACCCATCGTTGACCCTCCGGAAATGACTACGGCACTCCACTTTCCCGCCCACGTTCGCGTGTATGCCTGGCGGGGGGGGAGGTATCACAAGGATTCTGTCTGTCAGTGCTTTTCTTTCATTTGTTTGTTTTGGGCTATCCCCAGCCCGGCGCGAACGAAGTGTCCTCACGTCTTCACGCTTGAACCAGAGTCCTCGCCCGCGTTCCGCTAGTGTGAGAGTCGAAACCCCTGAAACCCCTGAAGCCCCTGAAACCCCTGAAACCCTAAACCCTAAACCCTAGCCCTAAACCCTAAACCCAAAAAAAGGATGCTTCAGGGTTTAGGCCAGGGCCTCGGAGTTTGCACCCCACAGGCCACGGGCCGACCCCCAGGCTCGTAAGTTATATGGTGAGTTCTAAGTTATTGTTTAGGGTTTAGGGTGTAGGGTTTAGGGTTTAGGGTTCAGGGTTTAGGGTTTAGGGTTAGGGTTTTGGGTTTAGTCCCATTTTCTTAGGGATTCTTGGGATTTCCCTTTTTTATTTCTTGGGCACGGTAGTTCCTAAGGAACGGCTAGCATGATTTTTTGCTAGGGTTCCAAGTTCAGTATGCACAGACATAATCTATGAAGACAGCTGTATGCATTTAATTATTCATGTGTGTACGCATGCATGTAGGCGGCGAGCGTACAGATGCACATATAATATGAATGCATGTGCGCGCACATGGAAGATTGATTTTCGAGTTGTTTCATGCAATAGCCTTGAAGGTAGTATCTTTAGCCCGAAACCCTAAACCCCAAACCCCGAAACCCTACTGTAAACCCCAAGCCCCAAACCCTAAACCACGAAACCCCTAAACCCCAAACCCTAAACCCCTAAACCCCTAAACCCCAAGCCCCTAAACCCCAAACCCTAAACCCCTAGACCCCTAAACCCCAAGCCCCTAAACCCCAAACCCTAACCCCTAAACCCCCAAACCCCCACTAAACCCCTACTAAACCCCTAAACCCCTAAACGCCTAAACCCCGAAACCCTAAACCCCTAAACCCCTAAACCCCTAAACCCCTAAACCCCTAAACCCCTAAACCCCTAAACCCCTAAACCCCTAAACTCCTAAACTCCTTAACCCTAAACCCTGAACCCCTAAACCTCGAAACCCCAAACCTCGAAACCAAAACCCTAACCCCTAAGCCCCTAAACCCCTAAACCCCCAAACCCCTAAACCCCTAAACCCCTAAACCCCTAAACCCCAAACCCTAAACCCCTAAACCCCAAACCCTAAACCTCGAAACCCCAAACCCCAAACCCTCACCCCTAAACTCCAAACCCCCAAACCCTAAACCCTAAACCGTAAACCTCGAAACCCCAAACCCCTAAACCCTAACCCCTACCCTAAACCCCTAAACCCCTAAAAACCCCTAAACCCCTAAACCCCTAAACCCCTAAACCCCTAAACCCCTAAACCCCTAAACCCCTAAACCCCTAAACCCCTAAACCCCTAAACCTCTAAACCCCAAACCCTAAACCCCGAAACCCCAAGCCCCCCAAACCCCCAAACCCTAAACCCCTAAACCCCTAAACCCCTAAACCCCTAAACCCCGAAACCTCGAAACCCAAAACCCTAAACCTCGAAACCCCAAGCCCCCCAAACCCCCAAACCCTAAACCCCTAAACCCCTAAACCCCAAACCCCTAAACCCCTAAACCCCCAAACCCCAAAGCCTAAACCCCAAACCCCAAAGCCTAAACCCCTAAACCCCTAAACCCCAAACCCCTAACCCTAAACCCCAAACCCTAAACCCTAAATCCCTAAACCCCTAAACCCCCAAACCCTAAACCCTAAACCCTAAACCCCTAAACCCCTAAACCCCAAGCCCCCAAACCCCAAACCCCAAACCCCTACACCCTAAACCCCAAACCCTAAACCCTAAACTCCTAAACTCCTTAACCCTAAACCCTGAACCCCTAAACCTCTGACATATCGGATGTGGTAGCAGCTGAGGTTGCCGGCCCGCTGCCGGCGACAGTGCCTGGCTTGCTCCTAGCCGGTGCAGAGCTTGGCCAGGACTTAGGGTTTAGGGTTTAGGGTTTAGGGTTTGGGGTTTAGGGTTTAGGGTTTAGGGGGTTTACTGGGCGTTTAGGGTTTGGGGTTGAGGGTTTAGGGCCAGGAGCTTCCGGATTCGAGGCTTCCAGGAAGTTCCGTGTGGTGTTTGGGGTTTACTTTTTTGGGGCTCCTTCTGCACTTTTTGCGCGTTCCGGATTCCTAGCAAACTCACCTAGCAGAAAAACCCTGATTCCGTTCTTTTGGGTTTAGGCTCCCTTGTATATGCCCTATTAAAGCAAAAAGGGGCACCCTTTTATTCCTAGGTTACCTTTGGGTCTAGAGAAGGTATTGTGTTCAGTGGGCCGCATAGGCCGAGGCCTCGTTGCTCCACTTCCCAAAGAGCCCAATATTGCTTAATTAAGGCATGTACCTTAAATCATATTAAGGATCCTTAATATGATTTAAGGTATATTCCTTAATTAAGGAATATACCTTAAAGTCATATTAAGGGTCCTGAATATATGATTTAAGGAGTATTCCTTAATTAAGCTGTATTGGACTCTTTGGGTTTCTCTTTAGGTCGGCGAGGGCTTCCATGGCCCAGGGTCTTGGCGCGAAGGTTTAAGTTCCGTATGGTGCATTCATCAAGCAATGTGCTTGGTGTAGTACCTTATAGCCTTCGTTTTGTTCATGTGCATGAAGTTGCTATAGGTTTTAGGTTTGGAGCCTAGTATTCAAAAGGTGCGGACCCTCGCAGCGGATTTAGTTCGGAATCCCCGCTTTCGGGCCCGGTTGAGCCAAGTTTTGGCGGTCTTTTGTGCCTGTGGTTGAGTATTTAGGTTTAGGGCTTAGGGCTTAGGGCTTAGGGCTTAGGGCTTAGGGCTTAGGGCTTAGGGCTTAGGGTTTAGGGTTTAGGGTTTAGGGTTTAATGTTGGACTGGCTTTAGTGAGAAGGGGCACTATTATACGATGTTCCGGAAATCCTATAGGGGACCCCCCATTGTTTAGGGTGGTCCTCAATTATGCGATGTTTGCCGGCCGGGGTTGAAGGGCGGGGGGCCGGGGAGCCAAAATCTAAAAACAGTTTTGAATAAGAAACTCCGGTTTTTTTTCGGTGTCCAGCCTTATTTAAATTTCTTTTAAAATTTCATTACGAAACAGGCCCCCAAACAATTTTCCAAGGGAGTAGCCCACGAGCTGCCCTGATTCGCTTTAGCAAGTTGTTTCGGTGGTCCGCATTTATGCGGAGCCCCGGCGACCTTGGAACTACAAAGCCTGGAAAGCTTAGACCCTCAAGCTTCAAGGCTTCCCCTCAACCCTCGACCCCTAGCCGCCCTACCCCCAGCCCCGTCCCAGCCCCAGCCCACACTATTCAGGATCCCCGAAAACCCCAAAATTGTTTGGGGGGGGGGACCCACTTAAAGTTACTAAAGCGAGTCCAACATTAGGGTTTAGGGTTGGGGTCTAGGATTGAGGGTTTGGGTAGAGGTTTAGATCAGCCCCCCCCCCCCCCCCCCCCCCCCCCCCCCTCCTCCATGCACTTCGTTATGTATTGACGTGTGTATGTATGCATGCGTTTTGGGATCAGCTTGATCAACAAGTATTTGGGCCGGGCTTCCCAGCTCCAAACCCTGCTCAGAACCCTATCTTTCGGTTTTTTGTTTCCATTTTTTTTCAGATTTTTTTTGCCTTTTAGACCCTAGAAGGGTTCCTGGGTGACTTTGGCAGGTGCGAAACTGGGACCGTTCACGAGCACGACCTACGCGCTGTGACTTGCCTGGCCTTGGTCTTTGGGCGTCGGCCTTGTGGGTTTCTGGTCGGTTGGTTTACCCTAAACCCTAAACCCTAAACCCTAAACCCTAAACCCTAAACCCTAAACCCGAGGCCTTTGTTGGGTTTGGGTTTGTAGGCTGTAGGTTCACCTGAAGTAGCCAACCCTTCCACAGAAGCCACGGCTTTGCCGCGAGCAACGGTGGGGTTTGCTCTGTCTGTTCTGCGTGGCGTTGAAGGCCTCACAGCAACTCCAGGTATTTTGGCCATCGAAGTACACCTGGTATGTCGCTGCCACTTAAAACCCCCACCCTGAAACTAAGCAGAAATACCTGCCCTGGAACAGAGAGTTGCGCGAAACTACTCTAAGCCAAGGGATGAAGAACCGGTCTTCTAGGGTGTAGCCCTAACCCTAAACCCTACACCCTAAACCCAGGGGTGTTGTCGTCTTCCCGACAAGTAGCAGCCGAACAGTCGCCACCGAGTCTCTGCTTGAAGGCTTCCTTAAGGTTTAGGGTTTAGGGTTTAGGGTAAAACGTCAGTGCCTTGTTTGGTTTGTCTGCCTACCAACCTTACAAGGTTATTTTTTGCACAAGTATAAGTATAGGTATACATATACGTCTAAGTAGCAGCCTACCTACGAATCTTTTAAGGTTTTTGTTTGTATGATGTCAGGTTTTGTGTTCTCCAAGTTGGTCTACGGCTGGGCCGGCGTGCAGTCTGAGATCCTCAAGATGGGTTGAACCTAGTGCGATAAAATCTAACGGCAAAGCGTGCGTGATATACTCGTAGCCGAAGGTATGGTACTTCTTCTAGAGTAAGTTTGGGTCTGAGTACATCCGAACTTCATAACCAGGGCCAAAACTTTGGAAGGACTCTCCCTAAACCCTAAACCCTAAAGGGCTGCTGGGTCTCGGGGGGGGGGGGGGGGGGGGGTCGCGATAGTTGGACGAACCGAATGTGCAATCTGCGCAATCGCACGAGGAGCGTTCTGGCAACTTCGGTGCTCACGGTGAGCATCCCGGTGCCATGGCTTCATCGACCTTGTTAAGGTTCAGAGTTTAGGGTTTAGGGTTCAGGGTTTAGGGTTTAGGGTTTAGGGTTTAGGGTTAGGGTTTAGGACTCAAATCCTAAACCAGACGCCCGCTCACTTGCACGGCAAACCTACACGAAGGCAACCGCTGCGACCCCTGTTCCCTCGTTTTGTTGGGCTGGCTGTCCGTCTACACAATTGCGACAGAAAATATCGGCATATTGTTTTCTTTCATCTTTTTGGGGCTCCCAAGCGCCTTATCAGCCAGAACCTCAGGTTTTTGCATGTATGTATCCACACACATAGTCAAACCAATTAAATCTGCAAAAGCATATGAATATATATATATATATATATATATATATATATATATACATATATATATATATATATATTGATATATTGGGAGGGGGCGATATATATATATATATGTATATATAATAATAATAATAATAAGTATATACATATATGTGTATATATATATACATATATATATATATACACATATGTGTGTGTGTGCACAATATGTCTTCGTTCTTGCTTCATGGCTTGCCACCCGCAGGTCCTGCTCTTCAAGCATCCGGAGATGCGGCAGCGCAAGCCCTTCCGGGCCCCGTGCTGCGCAACATGTTTTGGGGTTTAGGGTTTAGGGTTTAGGGTTCCAACCCTAAACCCTAAGCCCTAAAACCTGAACCCCAACACCCCAAACCCAACCCTAAACCCTGAGAGAGGGAGGGGGAGGGTTTCAGGTTGAGGGTTTGCCGGCTCACAGCTCGAGTCTGTCCCACAATGAGGGCGCACTATTTTGAAGCCCTTCTTCCCCCATGCTAGGGTTTAGGGTTTAGGGTTTAGGGTCTTGGGGGATCGGTCTGAGTTGGGGGCCCCTGGTTGGGTTCAGGAAGGTTTTAGGGCTGAGGGTCGGGGAACCTCCAACATAGCTAATCCCTCCATAACCTTAAACCCTAAACCCTAAACTGGCCTTTTGTAGTCAGGCCAGACAGTGGCCTTTTGCTTTTTTTACCTGCGGCCTTCTCTCCTTAGCACCCCAAAGGGTACCCTAAGAGCCCAATATTGCTTATTTAAGGAATATACCTTAATCATATAGGGATCCTCCATATGATTTAAGGAATATTCCTTTATTAAGCAATATTGGGCTCTTTGGGTAAACCCTTGTTGATTCAGGGGATTTCGCAATCAAGCCGAAACCCCCCAACCGCACACCCCACACCCCCAAGTCCCCTAAGCCCCAAGCTCTAGGCGGGTGGGCCAAAGAATTTCCTAAGCCCGACAATCCCGTTCGACCTAAACCCTAAACCCTAACCCCGAGTCCTGGGAATTGCTGGACAGGCTGTCTCGGTGGCAGTGGCTGCGGCCGCGGTCGGTCAGGCCGATGGGTCCCCACGCCATGAAAGCCCTAAACCCAAAACCCTAAACCCTAAACCCAAGGCTTAGGCTAGGGTTGGCTGGGTATCGTTGTGCAAAAAAAGGCAAGATACTTGTTCACTAGAAGAACCCCAACATCTGGTTTAGGGTTCAGGGTTCAGGGTTTAGGGTTCAGGGTTCGGGTTTTAGGCTTAAGGTTGTCGGTTGAGGGTCTTCTTCTGTGGTTTAGGGTTTAGGGTGGGTTTACTGAACCCACCCCGTCCCCAGCTGCATGATCCTTTTGCTTCGGTTGCCTGAGATGCGCCGTACACCCCATCAACCCTAAACCCTGAAGTCCAAGTATGTAACGTAGCGGCAGCAGCAGCCCGCCCCTCATGAAAGCACAAACAGTCTTGCATTCTTCTGAAGGTTCAGGGTCACCCTAAACCCTAAACCCTAAATTCTGGATAGCGTTGTTTTTTTGGTGAATCAAGCCCTAAACCCTATAAACCCCATAAACCCTATAAACCCTATAAACCCTATAAACCCTATAAACCCTATAAACCCTATAAACCCAAGGCGCATACCTTAACTGAGGGGTATGGGCCTCTCTGGTCTGATTTGGGCCCTTTCAAATAGGGTGAACTTTCCAGGAGCAGCCAAAGCTCTAAACTCTTTAGGGTTTAGGGTCTAGGGTCTAGGGTTTTAGGGCAGGCAGAGCTCGCGGGGTCAAAAGGGTTTAGGGTTTAGGGTTTAGGTCTCCCTCTTCCCCCCCCCCCCCCCCCCCCAAAGATTGCCCCAGATTGCCTTCATGTCGCTGTCGCTGACCCCAAACATCGCCTTGTTCGACATGCTGCCGGGGGTGACCGTGCCACAGCTTGAGATCGACTGTAGGAGCTGGCCCTAAACCCTAAACCCTAAACCCTAAACCCTAAACCCTAAACCCTAAACACCAACGAGGTGATGTCGGGCGGTTGAGGGGAGGGCTTAGGGTTTGTGAGCTAGCGGCTTGGAGCACTCTTCGGTTTCAGGCTACTAGGGATTTCCTCAAGGGTGCGGGTTCCCAAACGGTGGTGCCCAGACATGCCCTTGTTTTTTGTTTTTTTGTTGGGCAGGGGGGGGGGGGGTAGGGTTTAGGGTTACTTTATAAACCCCTTTTAAGCAAAAACTGGCACCCTGTTTTTTTCTATCCTCGGTTACTGGACTGGACAACCTTGTAAAGCTTCCACTGTTGTTGCATTCAAGCTTTGCATCTCACCACTCGTACCTTCCTAGCTGCAGCTATCTGTGGGTTTCCCGAAGTTAGGGTTATCGTATTGGGTTCTTATATTATAAGAGGACCCCTCAACTCCCATGTCTAGGCATTCCCCTTTGTCATTCTTCGTGAACGAAGGATCACCCTAGGCATCACAAGCTGCTTGAACGGAAGCTCCCAAGTGAGCAGGACCTTCTTCACAGAATGAGTATCTCCACAGTGGGGACAAACTCAGCGGACAAGTACGTGGAGGAAGTTCTCGGCATCTCGGAGACGGTACGAACAAATGGACACGCGGCGGGTGCGACGGCTCGCGGCCTCCGCTGTAGAGATGTGCATCTGCTAGCAGCCCTAAACCCTAAACCCTAAACCCTACAAGCTGAGCTTGGGACTCAGTACAAGTAGGTGGCACCAGCGCCACGCGGCCGCGATCTCAACGATATCTGGAGCAATGTGGGCCATGCAGATGTTTGCGCGGAACTGGCGGCTCAGATCTTCAAGAGGATTTCTGTTCCAGCGGACCATCGGAAAGAAGAGAAGTCGAAACCCTGAACCGTAAGCCGCCAGGCAAACTCGAGGAATCCCGCCCTCCCCCTCCCACCACCCCCACCCCCAATCCCTGGTTTCTCGCAACGAAGCCCGACGCCCACCCTAACGAGCCCTGAAAGGTTTAGGGGTTAGGGGTTTAGGGTTTAGAGTTTAGGTTTTAGGTTTCATTTTCAATCTCATGGGCCACCCTTCCACCTGAACAAATCTGGAGCTGGCGCTGAGCCCCTCCCCCCTCCCCCCCCACCAAAAAAAAGCAACAAAAACCTACGCGCGCCCCGAAACTGTACCAGCCCTAGGACCTGAAGCCCTAAACCCTAAACCCTAACGTCGACTCGACAGGCCGCCAGAACCTACAGCCCCCAAAATCCCTGAACCCAATCGAGCCCTTGACCCTAATCCATGGTCCGAGGTCAGTGACTTCATGACGCCCATGTGTCTCGGATACCTTACAAGCCCTAAACCCTGGGTTTAGTTTTCGGGTTTAGAGGGTTTAGAAGTAGGGCTTATGGTTTAGGTTTTAGGGTTAGGGTTCAGGGTTTCGAGTTTAGGGCATGCGCAAGAAACCCTGAAGATGGGTTCCCCTTTTGAGGGGAGAGGGGCGTGTAGTTGAAAAGCTGCGTTATTCTGGTCTATAGTCTCTAGTCTGAGGGCTTCCGTTCCCACAAAGAATATAGCTTCGAAAGGTTTTCCACTAACAGTTAAGCTTGATGGATACAGCGCGCTTTGGCGACGATACACTGAGTAGAGGGAGTCCAAGACAGAAACCATGGGAATGAGAGCCGATGACAGTCGATACATGGGGTCGGTATCTTACCAAAGGCATGCTTGCTCAGGAGGAGTTGGAGGGTTCCACGCCAAACCCCAAAACCCGATTCCTGGGCGCTAACCCCTATAAAGACCCACCCACACCCCCCCCCCCCCCAGGGTTTGGTGAGTCCATGGAGCTCCCCAGACTTGAAATCAGAATTCCTGGGTCAGAGGGGCTTCACAGAGTTGCTCAGCCCCTTGTAGCACTGACAGGGCTGCAGGGTTCAGCTACCCCAACTTTGTAACCCCAGAATGGGGACCCCCTGTATAAACTCTACCCTAAACCCTAAACCCTAAACCCTATAAACCCTATACATCCACAAGTTGAGGCAGCATCCCTTCATGGTCATCCACCTGGTGTGTCATGCGGTGCAGCTGCCGCGGCCTGGCGCAGTGGGTTGAGGGCCCAAGTCAGATGGTTTAGGGTTTAGGGTTTAGGGTTTAGGGTTTAGGGACCCTGATCCGCGCTGAACCCCAACAACACTGCTACTATTTGCTGAAGAGCCCCAAAAGAATTAAAGATGATAATCCCTGTATTAGCCTTATAAGGAAGGTTTTTTTTTTTGTTTTTTTTTTTTTTTTTTTTGCGGGGGGTTCTTCAGTAATCAGTAGACTATGGGTTTAGAGTTGCACGTACACACACACATACACACCCTAACCCCAAAGTTCGGAGACTGTATCAGATGCAAGTTTACTCCCTGACCAAAATAAGGACCGAGCGTCGTTTAGTTGAAGCGGATAAGCTCGGAATAGGGGGGTTATGTTATACTTAGTAGCTGAATGAGTACACTGTTTTCACTGTACATTTTTTGAGATTCTACAATCCCCTATAGAACTGAAAGTGTACTCTGTTTGGGGGCTTCTGAAATAGCCCCTATAATGCCTTATATAGTTCCGATAAACACAAGTAGCCCCCGAATAACCCCTAAAAAAACCCTTGTGCGGGTCCCTCCTTTAGTCCCTTGGCAGTAACTTGACTACCAATCTGCTTAAGAACCCTCCCAAACATGAAAGATATGATTCCTTATAAGGGAAATCTAGGGATTATTAGCTTTTCTTTTTTTTGGGAGGTTCTTAAGCAAATCGTAGTTGAGGCGGTTGAAATCTCTCACCCGCTCTGTCTCTCTAGGGCCTTCGGCTCTTGTGTATGCTTCGTAGCTAGTGTATACACCTAGTTCTGGGTTTAGGGTTTGGGGTTTAGGGTTTAGGGTTTAGGGGTTCCATACGTGCTAGGTGCAAGAGGGCCGACAGCCGATTGTTCCTGGCGTTTTTTCGTCTGTGGTGTGTAAATGTCACTGCACCAGCAGCTTCTCGTGAACCTTAGTAAGAGTTGGTGCCACATAGGCATGTCTCCTGCTTGCTCCTTGCTTGAACTCCATGATGTGGCATATTCTCGTCATGTGTGCGCGCGCGCGCGTGCGGGTGTGTGTGTGTGTGTGCGCGCGCGTTACCTCCAAGATTAGTTCGTGACATGATGTCCCTTCTTCAGACTTGAGCATACCCGCTGCCCTAAACCCTAAACCGCAAACGGTGAACCGCCAAGCACAAACCAATGCGGGCCTGCAAGCCTCGACCCTTCCAGATGTTGGCGGAATGCACGGTAAGGTCTTGGCTGCATCCATGCACCCTGCCACCCGTGAACACACCCAAAAGCCTGGATTCCCCAGACCCCTGAAAGGATCCCAAAAAGTAGAGCCCCCGAATAGTACCCTATATGATTATTGGCTTATTGGGTCATTGTTAGGAACCTTCAAAGGGATCTACTTTTGCAGACGGGTCTGGGTCTACAGAGTCTATAGTCCTTTAGGACGCCCGACCTTGCATTTTTGTTCTCTTGGGTTGACTCTTGCTCAGGGTTGAGGAGCTAATCAGTTCTGTGGTCGGGTGACAGGAACAGGATGCGGGGTCTAGAGGTTTAGGGTTTAGGGTTTTAGGGAATGTACTGCCAAGGATGATGACCGTGATGCTGGGCAGACTGGCAGGCAGAAGTGTCGCAGACGCTCGAGACGGGAAGGAGGAGCAGTCAGTTCACCAATTCAGACTTTGAATGGTTTAGTGGCTGGTGTAGGGTAAGCCCTAAACCCTAAACCCTAAATAAACCCACCAGAAAACCCTAACCCTAACCCCCGCGCAGGGGATCAAAAGCAGCTTGGAGAGGGCAGGGGGTGTGTCCCCAAAGCCACCCTAAACCATAAACCCTAAACCCTAAACCCTAAACCCTAAACCCTAAACCCTAAACCCTAAACCCTAAACCCTAAACCCTAAACCGCACCATCCTCGCAAGCCACGCCAAACACGTTCGTGTAGCGTTCCCCCCCTCCTGCTACACCAACTCTTGGTAGCGGGCAAAGGGACTTGAGTCTTTAGCTTGGTTTTCGTTAGGGTTTAGGGTTTAGGGTTTAACTCCTACTCAGAGCTAGTGGGGCCTTTCTCACTGGAGTGGCTAAACTAGAGGGGGCCAAAGTTTAGGGTTTTATAGTGTTTGCAGGGTTCGGTTCCCCAAACGGTGTGGTAAACGGTTTAGGGTTTGGGGTTGAGGGTTGAGGGTTTAGGGTTTAGGGTTTAAGGAGCGCCTGAGAAGTCCTTCGCAGTAGCCGCAAGACTGGCGGGCTGGGTGAAGTTAAGAGCAAAGATGAACCAAAAACCCTAAACCCTAAACCCTAAACCCTAAACCCTAAACCCTAAACCCTAAACCCCGCGGTTCGGCCAGCCATGCGGGAGCGAAAAAAAACCCTCAACCCCAAACCCCAAACCCTCAACCCTAGCCAAGGATATGAGCAGCTGCCACTATTCCGTGGCGCTGTGCCACGGCCGCTTACAGTCATGACACGCCAACTAGGGTTTAGGGTTTAGGCTGTAGGGTTTAGGGTTTAGGGTTGTAGATGGTGGCTGCCGGACTTGGGTTCAGGCTGGCAGACGCTGGGGTGTGTTTAGGGTTTGGGGGCAACAAGGCCGGACTTAGTCCCGGATTAAATCAGGGTTTGGGGTTTAGGGTTTGGGGTTTAGGGTTTAGGGTTTAGGGTTTAGGGTTTGGGGTTTAGGGTTTAGGGTGTTAGGTAGGTTCTGTGGAACTCAATACAAAGGGGTGTGCTGGCTTTGTGGCAGACGGAACATACCCTCTAATTCCTTAAACCCTAAACCCCAAACATGATCCTTAGTATAAATTACGGTAGATTCCTTACTTAAGGCGTTTGAAGACCCGGGGAGAGCCAGGAACGGGAGAGCTAAAGAGCGAGCGCAGGAGGAGTCTTGTGAGTTTTCTCTCAGCGACACAGGCCCTATACCCTGAACCCCAAACCCTAAACCTCAAACCCTAAACCCTAAACCCTAAACCCTAAACCCTCAGCCAAGCTTGGGCAGCCGAGGTATAGCATCTCTGCCATCCTCTCAGCAGCAACGAAGTCGCTCCGCTTGGTGCCAGCTGGGTGGTGGGCAGGGTTTAGGGTTTAGGGTTTGGGGTTTGGGGTTTGGGGTTTAGGGTTTCACTGTAGTGGTTGAGGTGTTTTGCAAGTCCGGTTTCAAAGGCTCGTGTTCAGATTGGGTTCCGTCATAACACAAGGGCCCTTCACTGCTCCTGGCTGCGGGCATCGTGCAGAAAGTGGACTTAGGCTCTGAGTATGAATGCGGCAAGTACGGCAAGCGACACAACGATCATAATGTACCGGTCGGTATATAAATACTCATGGTGCCCCCCTTTGGTCCCACAAAAGTGATACTATGGTGAACCCCCAAAGCCCTACTCTACTCATGAAGGACCCTAGATTCGTACTGGCTCAAAACCCAACTTTTCAACTTTTGGGCTTCTTATAAGGTGGTTCATTCTGAAAGTTTCAACTTTACTTTCCTTGGGTTTTGGGCCAGTAAGGATGACGCCTCTTCCCTGAATCCGACAGCCCTCAACAACCCTAGGCCCTAATCCCCAAGCCCTCAAGGGCTCCCCCAGCTCGGAACCTCCACGCATCCTGTGGCTTTTGGTTTAGGGTTTAGGGTTTAGGGTTCCGGGTTTTGGGTTTTGGGGTTAGGGGTTTGGTGCTGGGCTTTGGGGTAACCGGGTTAGGGATTTGGATTTTGGGTGTTGGCTTTAGGGTTTAGGGTTTAAGTTAAGGGCTCAGGGTTTCAGATGTTTTAAGTGTGGTTCTCATTGGGGTCGAGGGTGCCGTACTCCCACATCAGGTGCAACTAAAGCAGTCTGGTCAAGTGTACACTGCGCAGGGCCTTAAACCCGAAGCCCTGAACCCCACACCCGACAGCGTGGTCCATCCAGCCATGTGGGAGTGCAAAACCACGCTCTAAACCGTTTGCCACTGGGCAAACCCTAAACCCTAAACCCCAAACCCTAAACCCTAAACCCTAAACGCCAAGGGAAACCTACTTTCGCTGGCCGCTTCTCGTCCTTGGCAGCCTTTGCCTCAAACGTGGGCTCGCTGAGCTTGAGGCGCCTCTTTGTGGGCTGGGAAGGGTTTAGGGTTTGGGGTTTGGGGTTTGGGGTTTAGGGTCTAGGGTTTAGGGTTTAGGGTTTAGGGTTTAGGGTTTAGAGCTTGAGGCGCCTCTCTGTCGGCTGAACGGGCTCCTTGGTTTGGGCTCGGAAGGGTTTAGGGTTTAGGGTTTAAGGTTTAGGGTTTAGCGTTTAGGGTTTAGGGTTTAGGGTTTAGGCTCGGAAGAGTTGAGGGTTTAGGGTATAGGGTTGTGGGTCGGAACGGATGGGGGGCGAGCAAGACAAGTCCTGAATGGCCCAACTCCGAAGGCCCAACACCTTACGGCCACGCATTCCACCACCCCCCGTCTAGGGTTCAGGGTTTAGGGTTTAGGGTTTTGGATGTAGGGTTGGTTCATTACCATGTGTACCCAGAGACTCCAGTATCCAGTATCCCCCTAAGGATTAAGGAATATTCCGTAAACCATACAAGGAACGCTTTTTTACTTGAAGGAATACTCCTTAGTTAAGGGGTATTGGAGTGTCTGTGTACTTGTAAGTCAGGTAAGAAGTAGGGTAGCTATGGTAAGAACCCTACTTAGGGTACTTGTAACCCTACTTGTCAATACCAATGAATCTCCAAGTATGGAAGGGCATCATTCTGCAGCCGGTAGACTCAGGGATATTCTTGGAACATTCCTCTTGACGGGTATTCTGGCTGTATTTTGTAGTGCCTTTCAATGCTCTTGGTTTCCCTTTGCCTTCTCACGGTCTTTGCCCAAGGCCCCAAAACCCAAGGGTACAACCTTAGGGGTGCGAGGTAGAATTCCATGGTTAGGATGGTGTCGGCGCTGCCCTAAACCCTAAACCATAAACCCTGCCAGGACTCCTCAAAGTTCGTCGAAACCATCGCCCCGCGCAATCCTGCAGTTTACATGTGGACGGAGAAGCACAAAATCAGTCTGCCAGATGCGAATTGAGGGTTGGAGGGTTGTTGAGGGTTTTGAGGGTCTTTATGAGGGGTTTTTGGGGTGGCTTGGGGGTGTATAGATTGGGATGCATAGTAGGTGGGCACGCTTCCGACCCAGAATGACCCGGCAGAGCCAAGTGACCCCCAGCAACAGAGAGAGAGAGAGAGAGACCCTAAACCCTAAACCCTCAACCCTAAACAGGGTTTCTATTATTCGCGGCTGAAGAACTGAGTTTAAATGCATAGTTCTTAGTTGGAAGTACCTTCTATCCCCTTGTAGCACCCTCGCAAAAGAGGTGTATTAGGGAACCGATAAGCCCCAACTCGCTACTTCTCTTCTGAGACAAGTTTTTAGGGTTCAGGGGTTTTGTAAAAGGGTTTAGGGTTTAGGGTTTAGGGTTTATAAACCCCTAGACCCCTAGGCCATAAACCCGAAACTTCTAGACCTAAACCTTAAACACCTAGACCCCCTAGACCTTAAACCCTACACCCCCAAAGCCCCTAAACCTCTAGACCCACCCCGATAGACCCCAGACGCTCAACCTTAAGACCCTAAACCCGAGACTCGAAAACCCTAAACCCTAAACCCTAAAACCCTAAAACCCCAAAACCCCAAAACCCTAAAACCCTAAAACCCTAAAAACCCTAAAACTGAAACCCTAAAAAACCCTTAAGCCCTAACACCCTAAAACCCTAAAGCCCTAAAACCCTAAGACCCTAAACCCTAAAACCCTAAAACCCTAAAGCCCTAAAACCCTAAGACCCTAAACCCTAAAACCCTAAAGCCCTAAAACCCTAACACCCTAAAAACCCTAAAACCCTAAAAAACCTTATAAAACCCTAAAACTCTACAACCCTAAACCCTAAAACCCTAAAACCCTAAACCCTAAAACCCTCAATCCCTAAGAGCCCGCAGCTGATCAGCCCCCTCGCCACCGAGGTGTCGGGCTCTTTGTCTTCCAAGCGTCCCTTCACCCGACGATCCAGCCGCCTGTCCAAAGCTTGTCTATAAACCCTAAACCCTAAACCCTAAACCCTAAACCGTGTTCCCTGGAAGTATCGGGCTCATAGTTTTTGGGTGTCGCAGGAAAAGGCGCAGAGCTTGGATCTACCTCCTAGAGGGCTTAGGCGTTAATGTTGCTTGGCCCACGTCTTGAAGTATGAGCCCTAAACCCTAAACCCTAAACCGTAAGCCTTTGAACCCCCAAAAAAAGCGCCAGTTCTCCAACTTGGAATCCCGTTCCTTTTTTGTGGAGGTGCGGGGCATCCGAAGTATGAGGGGCCCTAGCTGTACGACAACGAACCAGGTGTTATGGGTTTAGGGTTTCGGGTTGCTCGACGCGTAGATCTCTGAACCCGCAAAGCAAGCTGCAGTCCCCGACCCCCCCCCCCCCCCCCCCCCCCCCCCCCCCCCCCCCCCCCACACCCGAAGCCCTAAACCCAAACTACCCTCAGAGATTTAGGGGTGGCGTAGGTCGATGGGCTACCTGGAGTGGATATCCTCAGCGGCCGTGCAGAGCACATGGACGTGCATGGCATCCGGGCCTCACAGATTCGGGGGTTTAGGGTTTAGGGTCTAGGGTTTAGGGTTCAGGGTTCAGGGTTTAGTCCTTCTGTCAAGAGTGCAGGGGGATTGGGGGCCTTGCTGTCACGAGTACGGGGGGGCTTGCAGGGCGGCCTTGGCTCAGAGGGGATGTTATCGAGGCGGGCGAAGTCTCTTGGAAAAGGGTTTAGGGTTTAGGGTTTAGGGTTAGAGTTTAGGGGTTTAGGGGTTTAGGGGTTGAGGGTTCCTTCGGGTTCTTTGTGTGTGTGTGTGTGTTTTTTTTTTTTTTTTTTGGGGGGGGGGCTTGCATGAAACGTGGATCAGAAGCAGTTTCGGGTGTGGGGTGTAGTGTTTCGGGCTCTTAGGGTTTTGAGGCAAAGCTAAACCTGTGCAGTCAAGTACGTAGCCTTTCTCCTTCTGAGGGGCGTGCCAAACAGCTGGGCAGGTGACCTTGAATTTCTTTTTGTTGTCAAATCGAATCTCCAAATATATTCTTACAACCTAACCTGTCCCTATGCTAGGAAGCTGAACACATATCAGCATTATCCTATAGGAGTCGAATGGTTTACTAAACCTTGTTATAAACCTTAAACCCTAAACCCTAAACCCGGTTACTTACCTGCATTTCGGGAGTGCCTCACCCCTAAGCCCTACATGACCACATGGCAGCGGAGGAGGTGTCAAAGGATGGTTGCATCAGCTGCAAACCCTGAGGTTTAGGGTTTAGGGTTTAGGGTTTAGGTTTAGGGTTTAGGGTTTAGGGTTCGGGGTATAGCACTCTTCAAGGCCCCCCATCGCGCCCTCCGCCCCCCCGACTATAGGCTCCCTTAAGCTGCCGCACTGTGCGGTCGGTCCACCCACCCTAAGGGTCCATGTACCTCATGATTATATACTTGGGCCCCAAAGTCCCTATATAGGAAGTACTTCAAGGCCCAAGTATTCCCTATTTTGGTACATGGACCCTTAGGGCCAGTTCAGTGTTTAGGGCTTAGGGCGAACATATCTTCCATGGTAGATCCTGCAGTAATGAACAAACGCATTCACAAAGTCCAGAGCCGAAAGCCTTGTTTTCGTAGGTTGCCCGAGAATTAGTTCATCAGGGTTTACAGTACTTCAGAAGCTTTCAACGAATCCCTGAAGCCGCAGCCCTGCCGTTCCTTGGGGACGAAATGAACCCTAAAAGGGTTTATGGTTCATATGCCTTAGTAGGATTTATGGTAGTATTATGGTATATGACTCCAAATTTAAGGTTCAATTGGTCCCCAAGGTTTTTTAAAGCTTGTCAGAGGACGTCTTGCTGACGGCGGGTGTCGCGTTCATATCTCTGAAGGACGGGCATCCGAACAGGTGATGTGTGCAGTTTAGGGTTTAGGGTTTAGGGTTTAGGCCCAAAGATAGAGGCTCAGTGCTTTCTGTGAGGCCGCAAGCTTCGAGGATGTATAACTAGGACCCAGAGCAGGCCCTTGTTCCATTTTTTGGTGTTTACGGGTTCCCTTATACGCGCTTCACACCAAAAGAGGGTACCCTTGTTGTTCTGAGGTTGCTCTTGGGTTACTAACCCTGAACCCTAAACCCTACAAACCCTAAATCCGAAACCCGAAACCCGACAAGCGTTCCAGCATAGGAGGGCGCGCACATGAAGAAGTCGGAGGAGTTCATGGCCCGGAAAGAGCGTCTCCGGGAAGCGTTTTTTGTGAAAGGGACGGGTTTGAGGTTTAGGGTCTAGGTTTAGGGTTTAGTTTTTCGGTTCTTGTGTTATCTGAGGGTTTGGAGTTTAGCCCTTTCGGTTTTAGGAGAGTTCCAGGTCTAGCGTTCAGGGTTTGAGTTTAATCGTTGACGGTTTAGGGTTTCTACCCCCTGGTAGACAAGTACTACACCCTAAGCCCTAAACCTTCGCTTGCATGCTGGCGGGTGGCAGAATCGTTTCTTGCAAAGTGCATCCTCTGTTCAACCCTAGAGCCTAAAGCCTAAGCCCTAAGCCCTAGACCCTAAACCCTCAACCCTAAACCCTATCTGAAGCCTAAACCCTAAACCGTGTGAAAACAGTAAGAAGCAGTCCTAGGGCCGCCAAAGCTAAACATCGAGTCGTGGGCACGTTTTCCTCCAGGGAAGGAAGGGGTTTAGGGTTTAGGGTTTAGGGTTTAGGGTTTAGGGTGTAGGGTGTAGGGTGTAGGGTGTAGGGTGTAGGGTGTAGGGTGTAGGGTGTAGGGTGTAGGGTGTAGGGGTTAGGGTTCGACCTTTCTAACCTGAGTATACGCCTTTGAAGCACCCAAAGCAACCTTGCAATCGGGTTTTCTCAGCTTAGAAAGGTTAAACCCTAATTAAACCCTAAACCCTAAACCCTAAACCCTAAACCCCCATTCATTTTGGAGCCCGAGACCCAATGTGGCCGTTTTTTAGGTGTGGATCGCCTCTACGAGGCGGAGAGCATCGATTAGGCCCGCGGTTGCATCGGGCCGGTCTCCCTCAGCCCGAAGCTCTGCCCGAAAAGGGCCGCAATATCCCTGACTCCGGGCTCATTTCAAAAAATCAAACCCTAAACCCTTTATTTATTTATTTGTTTATTTGTTTGTTTGCATATTTACTTACTTACGTATTTATGTGTCTATTCGTTTGTTCACTCATAGACTGCAAGAAGCATGCCCATCATAAATTGAGGTAGATGTGGACTTGCTGCAGTATGTCTTGTGATGTCAGGCGTTGGTTGCCATGCAACTTGTTGCCAACGTTCTACTCCTTATAAGCTATCATAAAGAAAGCTGCGCCGGCGCTTTAGGGTTTAGGGTTTACCCTAAACCCTAAACCCTATAGGGCTTAGGGCTAAGTGATCCCGTCCCGGTTCATCCGTGCTATAGCGCTATAGCAGACGGAACGGCCTGCAAGCAGCTCAGCACACCGAAATTGAACATGGGAAGTATGATTACATGTAAACCCTAAACCCTAAACCCTAAACCCTAAACCCAAAACCCTAAACCGATGTATGTATTTTGTCTGATTATAGGAGTTCAACTTCAGATGATCGAAGGCTGGGCCCCAAATCGAATTTCGCGACGTGAAGGGAAGGCCAGTCCAGTAGTTTGTTTAAGAACCCCAAAAGAACCAAAAGACAATAATCAGTATTTCCTTGTAAGGAAACAGAGTTGCATTTTTTCAGGGGCGGCCCTTAAGCAAGTAGTAGTTAGACAATTTTCTGAACACATTCCGTACTTGTACTGGCCTTATGTTTATTGAGACATGGAGCTTGATCAAAGAACAGCCAAAGCAATCAAGGCCCTAAACTGTAAACTGTAAACCCTGAACCCTGAACCCTAAACCCTAAACCCAGCAACTATACCTCTTGGGCAGGCGAAACGGGCTCCGCCACGAACCCCTCCAAAACTGTGACGCTAAACCCTGAACCCTGCTAAACCCCCCCCCCCCCCCTCTAGCACGAGAGCCCGTAAGCCCTCAACCCTACGCTTAAACCCTAAAGCCTAAACCCCACTGCTGAGCTGCGGAAGACCTAATCAGTCCGGCTGCTGACCCATTGGCCACTTGAAGGCTCATGCGACCTTCAAACACCCTGCAGGATTTACAGTTGAGGGGGTTTGCTAGCTCCCCTCCTGCTTGTGCTCCCTCTCGCTGGCCCTTTTTAAGGTTTAGGGTTTAGGGATACTGAATGGGCTTATGACCCCAATGATAAGTAGGCAGAGAAGGGCATGAACCTTCAAGCAGCTCCGTCGCGGGTTCCGTTCCGCACTCGAGGACAAGTATCGACGGCCTGAGGTTGGTATGAAATGGTGCTTTGTTTTGAACAAGTTTCCTTCTACACCATGTATGTAGCTCTTATGGTATTTACAATGTGTAGCCCTAGAATGATGGATGTTTGACCCCCCATTGGAGCCTACATCCTCTTCAGCTACTCGTAGCCCGAATGAGAGAATTAGGTACCCTAGACACTCCCTTGAAAGGTGGATACAAGGGGGATATGTGGTACCTAGTTCCCTCATTCGCTACTAAGAACCAGTCAGACACACCCTCAAGAAAGTCCCTTTGAATGCTCTATAGAACCCGCAGTTAAAATGTTCGAGGCCCCCTGTATATCTACGGTCTGGTTCTGTTGGAAGGACGGAGGGTGCTGGCAGCACCGGGTGAAAGGTTTAGGGGCAGGGCTGCTTCAAAAGGGTTTAGGGTTTAGGGGCCTTATGAAGATGCTGCGTAGCCCAGTGGTGCCTTTCTGTCTTCTTCTTCTTCTTTAATATTATTATTTTCTGTTTTTTTTTAATTATTTTTTATTTTTTGGGGGGGTATGGCTTCCCTTGTAAAGTAACCAGCTCGGTAAAGGGTGCCCCTATTGCAAGATGGTTGCGGGGCTATCAAGGTTATTTAGGGGCAAGGGTGCTTCAAATGCCTCAAAAGGGCTTCGGGTTTAGGGACCTCATGGCAGATGGCATGGTCATCCCAACCGGGCGACATTTGTTTAATCGCTGTCAGGTGGCAGGGGTACAGGGCATCAGCCAGCGCAGCTCAGAAGGCCCCAGGGCCCCCTACGGACCTCATCTCTGAGCCCTTGATAACTCTCTGAAAACTAGTATCAACCCCTCTAGACCCCTATAATCCCTATAAACCCCTATAATCCCCTGGTAAAGCCTGTGAAAACCCGGAACCCCATGCAGAAGACGTCTGAAGGGAGCCAAGGCGAAGCAGCCTAGAGTTCTAACTTGGGATGGCCCCCCCTTCTACTAAGAGCCCTTCATGGGGATCATAGTACCCCTGATTGATGTTCTCCCCTATACTAACAGTCCTTAATAGGGATTAGAAGTACCCCCCCCCCCCCCCTCCCCTGGTGATAATCCCTATTAAGGGCCGTTGGTATCAGGGGAACCCTAAACCCTAAACCCTAAACCCTAAACCCTAAACCCTAAACCCTAACCCTAAACCCTAAACCCTAAACCCTAAACCCTACGATAGACAAGGGCAAAACCCTAGAAGTTGCCAAATTCCTCTGGGAATCAACGGAGCTGCTCTGTGCTGTGGTCAGCTTTAGCCGGCCAGCCCAGCAACTTGCTTTTCCAGTCATCGCCAGTTATTTGGTTTTGGGTTTTGGGTTTAGGGTTTAGGGTTTAGGGTTTAGGGTTTAGGGTTTAGGGTTTAGGGTTCAGGGTTCATGGTTCAGGGTTTTAGGGTTTTAGGGTTTGGGGTTTAGGGTTCAGGGTTTAGGGGTTAGGGGTTAAGGGGGTTGCTCTTCAGTAGGGCCGCTCCAAAGGGGCTTTCCCGATGTGGGCGTGAGGAAAATGGATGGGAAGCCTGGCTGGTTAGTAGGGAATGAAGGAATTAGGGCCCTCTGTATACCCTTTAAAGGGATTATGTAGGGTAGGGAATGTCTGGGTTTTGGAGTACTACAGTTTAATACTTTTTTTCGTTCTGGGTTCCTAGAATGGCGACTCAAACCTAAAAAGTAAATATTTTTCCAGGGTCTACTCCAAAGCTAAGTTAGTAGGGAATGAAGGAATTAGGGCCCTCTGTATACCCTTTAAAGGGATTCTGTAGGGTACCTCATTCCCTCATTCCCTACTAAGAACCAGCCAGAAGCGATGGGTTTTGAATGCTGAGGGTCTGAAACAGTGACTGTCCCTCTTGCGACTGGTTCCTCCCAGATCTTCCAAAAGCCCCTATCAACTAAGGAACACGCCCCAATTCATACTAAGGATCATGAGTTCGGGTATATTCCTCAACTAAGGATCGTGAGTATGAGTTAGGGTCTATTCCTCTAACTTAAGGCGGTTTGGAAGATCTGGGTTCAAGGTTTGGGGCGTAAGGTTGAGGGTTTAGGGTTTAAGGATGAGGCCAAGGTCCACAAACCCCCTAAACTCCCCAAAGCCTGAGACGATAGAGGGTTTGGGGTTTAAGGTTTAAGGTTTAGGATAACAAGCATGTCCCAATCCCATATACAAGTCCCCTGAACGGCATGATGCAGGTTATTGCTGCTACAAAATTGCCCACTCCCCTATGAGCAGGGTATTGTCCAAAGTAATAGGATACCCCGAATATACCCTCAAAAGATTCTCTTCCTGATGATAGGCCCCCCCTAAACCCTAAACCCTAAACCCTAAACCCTAAACCCTAAACCCTAAACCCTAAACCCTAAACCCTAAACCCTAACCCCCCCCCCCAAAAAAAAAAAAAAACACAAACAAAAACAAAGGTACCCTACTTTCGGAGACACCCATGTCGAGTTCGTGAGTTTTATGAACCTTAAAGTAGGTACCCAAACCCTAAACCCCAAACCCCAACCCTAAACCCCAAACCCTAAACCCTAAACCCCAAAACCCTGCGTCTGGGCAGTGACAAGCCAGAGTTCAGGGCTGGGGTCCAAGACTAGCCTGAACTTAGGGTTTAGGGTTTAGGGTTTACTAGTTTGGGATCTGGGTCATTGTAACCTTGGGTTTGGGGACCCTTTCTACGGGCCCTCTAAGGGAATAGAAGGGCCAAAGTAGGAGCATGTTAAGGGGAACCTCTTCGGGGTACATCCTTAAGAGGTCCGAGTACCCTAAACCCTATTATAAACCCTAAACCCTAAACCCTAAAACCTAAACCCTAAACCCTATTAGGGAAAAATGGGGTGCGGGGGTTCGAACCTGTCTGCTCCCTAAATGGGTGTCCAAAAAGGGGCCCTATTTTTGACAACTACCCACTTATTTGTTTCTATGTATTTATTTTTCGTACATTAGTTCAAAATGAAGGGTGGCTCTTGCTAAGGTAAGGCCTATATAGTAAACCCTGAGCCCAAAACCTTAAGCCCTAAACCCTGAGCCCTAAACCCCAAACCCTGAGCCCTAAACCCTGAGCAAGAGCTCAGCGTAAGGCACTGTATGCCGACCCTGCTAGCCGGAAAGCTGAAGAGTTCTGGCACGGCTTTCATGTTCGGCGTTGCGGCTCGGCAGGTCTAGGGCGTTTTGGGCGTTTAGGGCTTTGGGTGCAGGGGCTTAGGGTTTAGGATTTGGGAGTTGAGGGTGAGAAGTTTTAGAGTGCTCGGGGCTTAGGATGTATGATGTTGGGTGGCTTAGGGTGAACAAAGGCCGTGCATTTGAGAGTGCTTCAAGGCTTCTATAAATTCTCGAAGCACGAAGTGGCAAGTTGCAGAGGGGCGGCCCCTAGCCTACCAATTGCTAAATATTAAGAACCCCCCCCCAAAAAATGGTGATATTCTTCCTTGTAAGGGAAATACAGGGAGTAGTCTTTTTTTGTTCTTAAGCGAATAGTCGTAGGATTATTCTCTTTTTTTGTTCTTGAGCAAATAGTGGTAGCTACCAAGTAGGTTTTACGGAGTCCAGAAAAGGAGCTCCCTCTAACTGGCGAGGAGGCCATGATATCACCGGTGCCCCTCATCCCCTTTCCGATGGTTGGTATTCCTGATCAACCTACATAACCCCCCCCCCCCAAAAAAAAAAATGCATGT